CCACCTCGTTACAGTTGGAACATTATCAAGACATCCACCTCATTACAGTGGAACATTATCGAGCCATCCACCTCGTTATAGTTGGAACATTATTGAGTCATCCACATCGTTACAGTTGAACATTATCGAGCAATCCACCTCGTTACAGTTGGAACATTATCGAGCCATCCACCTCGTTACAGTTGGAACATTATCGAGATATCCACCTCGTTACAGTTGGAACATTATCGAGTCATCCAGGCCTCGTTAAAAATCATGCATTGCGGAAAATCATGCATTGCGAGTTAATAGTTATGCATCGAGAGTCAATTCATGCATCTAGAGTTAATATTCATGCATCGCGAGTTAATTCATGCATTGCGAGTTAATATTCATGCATCGCAAATTAATATTCATGCATCGAGAGTTAATTCATGCATCGCGAGAAGATCTCATACCTCGCAGAAATGTATGCATCGCAAGAAGATTTCATACCTTGCGTAATTCATGCATCACTAGTTAATTCATGCATCTAGAGTTAATATTCATGCATCGCGAGTTAATATTCATGCATCGAGAGTTAATTCATGCATCGCGAGAAGATCTCATACCTCACAGAAAATTCATGCATCGCGAGAAGATTTCATACCTCGCAGAAATTCATGCATCGCGAGAAGATTTCATACCTCGCAGAAGATCATGCATCGAAAGTCAATTCATGCATCACTAGTTAATATTCATGCATCGAGAGTTAATTTATGCATAGCTAATTAATATTCATGCATTGCAAGTTGATTTTTATGCATCGCAAAAAGATTTCATCCCTCGCAAATTTTTATGCATCGTGAGAAGATTTCATACCTCGTAGAAATGTATGCATCGCAAGAAGATTTCATACCTTGCGGAATTCATGCATCGCGAGAAAATTTCATACCTCGCAGAAAATTCATGCATTGCGAGAAGATTTCATACCTCACAGAAAATTCATGCATCGCGAGAAGATTCCATACCTCGCAAAAATTCATGCATCGCGAGAAGATTCCATACATCGCGAGAAGATTCCATACCTCGCAGAAAATTCATGCATCACTAGTTAATTCATGCATCGAGAGTTAATATTCATGCATCGAGAGTTAATTCATGCATTGCGAGTTAATATTCATGCATCGAGAGTCAATTCATGCATCACTAGTTAATATTCATGCATCACGAGTTAATTCATGCATTGGGAGTTAATATTCATGCATTGCGAGAAGATTTCATACCTCGTAGAAAGTTCATGCATCGCGAGAAGATTCTATACCTCGTAGAAATGTATGCATCGCAAGATGATTTCATACCTTGCGGAATTTATGCATTGCGGGAAGATATTCATGCCCCGCAGAAGATCATGCATCGAGAGTCAATTCATGCATCGCGAGAGTCAATCCATGCATCACTAGTTAATATTCATGCATCGCGAGTTAATTCATGCATCACTAGTTAATATTCATGCATCGCGAGTTAATTCATGCATCACTAGTTAATATTCATGCATTGCGAGTTAATATTCATGCATCGCGGATTAATATTCATGCATCGCAAGTTAAAATTTTATGCATCGCGAGAAGATTCAATTCCTCGCAAAAGTTTACATATCGTAAAAAGATTTCATACCTTGCGGAATTTATGCATCACGAGAGGATTCAATTCCTCGCAAAAGTTTACATATCGCAAGAAGGTTTCATACCTTGCGAAATTTATGCATCGCGAGAAGATTTGATCCCTTGCAAAATTTTATGCATTGTGAGAAGATCTCATCCCTTGCAAAATTTTATACATCGCGAGAAGATTTGATCTCTTGCAAAATTTTATGCATTGCGAGAAGATCCCATCCCTCGCAAAATTTTATACATCGCGAGAAGATTCCATCCCTCGCAAAATTTGCGCATTGCGGAAAGATATTCATGCCCCGCAAGCAATCATGCGCTGTCAGAAAAGGGATCGTGCATCTCAAATGAAATATTTACCCTTCAACGTCATATGACGTTAAATGTCGAGGAGAGAAATTAAGTGTCGACACGGTGAAAAACACTGTCTCCCATTTAAATTGCATTTTAAGCTGACAAGTTTTATCTCAGTCTTTGTCAAGAGAATTTGAAAGGATGAATTTCTTTAAAAAAGAATAAAAAAAATCAAAAAATCAAAAAAAAAGAGAAGGAAAAAATCAAAAAAAAACAGGTGCAAACTACTTCAACAAGGATGCAACACATCATGGAACCTTTTGGAGACAAGTCTGTGATTGACTTCCACCACATGCAACCGCACTTCTTTACAAAGGTCATGTGTTCGATCAAAATTGGGTTTATCAATTTTCTTTGTCCACGATTTCTTTCATCAATCATACACAATGAAAGGGACAGTTGTTGACACCCAATTTTGGCCTAAGATTTTCAAAAATTCGTAATTTTGGGCCACAATACTAAGCCCGTCATTTGAGCCCATTTTGTGTTTATTTAAGTTATAAACTAGGTCAAATTATGGTGGAGGGGAATAAAAATTTTCAAAAAAAATAAAATAGAGAAAAACCCTAAAAAACTCCTTCCTCTTCTTCTCTCTCCCCTCCCCTTTCCCCCTTCCTCTCCCCTTCCTCCAGCCGCTCTTCTCTTCTCCCCTCCCCCTTCCTATCCTTTTCCCTTTTCCCTTTTGTCCGCCCCCCTGCCAGTCCCTTCCCCTCTCCTCTCCCCTTTCACTGCTCCGAGCTCACGCCACCACTGACTGGAGAAGAACATTAAACAGCAAGCAAACAATCGCCTCAGCCGCCTCCCTTCCCTTCTCCCTCTTTCTGTCGCCCACCTTCCCTGCCCTCTCTACCACTCTCCCGCCGCCCCTTCTCCCCCCCCCCTCTTCTTATCTTCTCTCCCTCCTTCCCTCTATGCTCCAGCTGAAACAACTTCAAACCTACCTCCACAAACCATCGACAACCGCCACTAACACCCACCAAACTCCGGTGAAACCCAAACCCCAAACCCCTTCGTTTTTCTCCCTTTTCTGGTGAAAAATCCACCGGAAGCAACACTGAAACAACCATTCCAAACAGCAGTGCCGGCGAGGAGCACGCCAGCCGACAGTCCGCTCGTCCTCTCCTCTTTACCGGCGAGTTTCAGGCAACAACAACTCTGTAACAGCAACCGAAGAAGAAGCTCAACGCCAACCCCGTTTCTTTCGTTTTTTCGTTTCCGACCAGCAGCTTCGGCAAAGCTCTAAGCTGAACCAAACGACCCCGTTTTTCCCGTCAACTTCACAACAGACCCACCAAATCCCGATCAAAATTCAGCTCAAACATCCGCTCAAACAGAGAGCACCAAAAGCCAGCACAAACCTCACCCAAAAAGCTCTCTCCCTCTCTTCGCCAAACCCACAACAACCAGACCTAACCTCTCTTTGTTTTCTCCCTTTTTTGCGGCGAAGCAGTCATTGAAAATGACTGAAAAACAGCACCACCACCAGCGAGCAACAGCAGCGCGCTGCAAACAACAGCTCCAACGGACAGCAGCGAGGACAACAACAACCGGA